ACAACAGCTTCAAAAATGAAATTTAGGCCTTCCTCTCCACATCCATAAACTCAATACTTCTAAGAGACCAGCATAATTTTATGGTTGTGAAAACTGTAATTCAGAGGTTAATGATTTGTTTGGACCTAGCTGTGGTGGAAGTTGTTGTAAATATAGAATGTTTCCTACCATATCTCACTGTAGGTAGTACTCAAATATCTAGGATTAATGATGTTTACTGTTTGAATTTGCAGTATTACTTCAACTTATACAATAGGTACATAGCTCAAAAGTGAATATAGCTCTGAGTTCTAGAGATTAAAAATCTTTACCAAAGTCACTCAGCATTTAAGGGAGACCTACAGGAATTCTTTCTCAAATTAAAAAAAAAAATACTATTAAGTAATTTTCCCATCTTCACTTTTTTTTTTTTTTTTTAAATAAGGGCAATTCTAAAATAATTCCTATTTGCTTTACATAATTCTTGGGACACTGATAATTCACCACAATGTGATTACAAATAGATAATCCTTGGTGTTTCTATTAGGGAGTTCAAGAACTGAATGACGGGCTGGACGTCTCAGTCTTTTTGGGGAAATGAGTTAAACAGACATGACGGAATTAATTTGGATGAACTTATCAGACAATTTAAAAATTATCCACTTGATATAATGGAAAGATTGTTCTCACTTGAAAGAAGATTAAACGCTGTATTTAATAGAAATGACTCAAGGTTAGAAAAGAGTAGGTACACATATGACTAGACATAAGTGAACACTTTAATACATTAGTCTAAATTACTTAAAAGCATACTTAATCATGAACAGAAGAGCATTAAAGAATTACGTCTGTTAACATCAAACATTCCTTTATGGAGTTTAAAAGAAAAGCAAATACTATTAAAAAACACTTTAATGAGAGACTTGTGTTTGATACGTTACAAAGTCTAAGAATTCTGAAAGATTTTAAATAAAAATTAGAAATGTGGTGATGTTTTAAGGTTTAAAACAACAGCTTGGGAAATGTTAAGTATGTGTCATTACTGAGAAGAATGTAATAATACACATTAATGGGAAAGACTGTTGGGATGTTTCCATATTTATTGTTTTACTTTTATGTATGTAGATTTAACTCCAGCTAGCAAGAAACTTAAATGTCACAGCAAATAAAAATTGTTTTTTTTTTTTGGTTTCACCAAACTATATAGAACAAGCTGCAAGTTCCTGACACGAGAAAAAAAAAAAACTTTAGCAACATGAGCACCAACTTTAATCATGATATTCTACAGTAGAACATAGTAAATTACTGATACAATTTAAACATTTAAAATATATTTTGTGCATATTGAAAGTGTGTGGTCTTATTTTACACATTTTCAATTCCAGAGAGATAGTTGTATTTTTAGCTGCTTTGTTAAATCACATTTGCTACACATTTCTAGGGAAAAAAAAAAATATCAAAACCCATTTGACTGACTTTCTCTCTGTCCTTTGAGACTCTAGTCTAATATATTATGTAAATTCCTGATTTTCCTTGAATGGCTTAGCCAGTTTCTGAATGTCCTTAATAGTCTAAGGTCTATTTCACAACCCTGACAAGTTCCAGGCTCCCAAAAGTAGAGCTGGGGAATAATTAAACCATGGCACGATGGGGTATGCTTCCTGATGCATGTATTTTCCAAAAACAATTTTTGAACTGTCTGTTTTATATTATCCATTTAAAAATTCTTTACCCCATCATTAGTGAAGAAAAAAGTCTTAATATTTGAATTTTTACCATCTATGTTTTATTTTCCTAATTCTGATATTTTAAAGCCTATTCTATGCAGCTTATAAAATTTTGATGTATTCTATGTAGCTTATAAAATAACTCAATTTTAAACCAAAGTTTTGTTATCTGAGCTATTTGGAAATTCTTTTAATATATAGTAAATATGAATTAAACACATAAAACACATACATATTGAATTGAAATGGTCTCCAAACCTAGAATGCTTATTTAAAAACCATCATATATAACTAGAAAATCTGATAATAAAATGATATATAATATAGATCTGCAACTGAATATATAATGAAAACTAGCAAGGATATAAATACACTCACCTTTTCCTCCTTTCCCTATCCTCTGGTCAAGTGGCACTTGAAAGAATTATTTGGGAATAAGTATCAATATATTTTCAAGAAATGTTGTTTCCAAATTCCTCATGTTAAGTTATTCAAAGAGCAAAAACATTTTTATTTTACTGTAAAGTAAGAAAAAAAAATGAGCAAAAATTTCTTCTCTTATTCTTTGGCTCTAGAAAGGGGCTTTTCCTTTCCTTCTTACTCCTCTGATATTTTAGAGGACCTCTGGTTCCTTCCTCTAGTCTATGACTCAAGAATTTTCCACATTTCTATTTTAAAAATTAAAGTAGTGAGCTCATCTACACTGCACAAGCACAGGAGATCAGAAGCATACTACATAGGGAGAGTTGGAAGCAGGCAATAATGAAATGCATTATCTGTAGATAACTTAAAAATAATAAAACAAAAAATTGGCCTGCTTTTTCTTGTCACCATACATCAGACTCAAATGTTATCAGTCTAATATATTCTTCCTCTCCTCTAATACATTTTTAATTAGAATATGTATTATCTCTGAGGTAGAAAGCTCCTACTACACTCTACACTCCCTTTCGTGTACCACTGAAGGAGACTCCATTTCAGCCTCCTGGCTTATTTTATAAGATAAACTCACTTCAATCAAATTAGTTCATAAAAAACCCCACCACCTTTATGTTGTATCTATTTTGGTACTTACTGATTTTCTTCATGCCCATATCAATGTTTTGTGTAGTTTTATATCCAGTTGTCAGAAAGCAAGGATAAATACAGGACTACTAAAAGAACACAGATTATGAGAAAGCAAGATATTTAAATAAAGCACCAGGTTACAACTTTTTCAAGGAGATTAATTAAAACTAAATTATAAGGCTGAGGCAGGAGGATCACTTTAGCCCAGGAGTTCAAGGTTACAGTGAACTATGATTACGCCACTGCCCTCCAGCCTGGGCGACAGAGTGAGACCCTGTCTCCAAACAAACAAATGAACGAACAGAAAGCAAAGCTAAAGTAGAGTTTACAAAGTCCTGAAATTCAGGGTTGCATTTGGGAAAATGGAAAGAAGGGGACACAAGTTAGATGAAAAGGACAAGAAAAAAGTATGTCACATTGTATTTACCATTTAATTAAAATTGTAATAAAAGTATATAAATTAAATGAAGTTAGTTTTTAAAAGAGAATGGGTCAGTCAATATTCCAGTGGGTACTTTCTTATTCAATGCTCAAATACTGAGCTAAATATACCTTCAAAAGCGAAGTCATTAGACTTCAAGATGTCTATTCAGACCGAAGAAATCAGTGAGCGTGTAATAAAGTTTACAAAGCTCTTCCCATAAAATACATGATCTCATTTGAGCTCTCAAGAATCCTATGAGGCAGACACTATAACACAGTGAGAGGTAGTATATATCTGAGGATAGAATATTGGCTCTACCACATAGCAATTGTGTGAGCTTGGGAATATTACTTAAATGCTTTGTATCTTGGTTTCTTCATATGAAAAATGGGGATGACAACTATCCCTACCTCATAGCTGTTGTAGGATTAAATGAGAGAATGCATATAAACATTTTAATAGAGTGCCTGGTCTTCAGTAAGTGCTCAATAAATGCTGACTATTATTATCATCATTATTCTACAGGTAAAGAAACAGACTAGGAAATATTAAGTTCAAAGTCATGATTACTAAGTGGCAAAGCTAGAAGTAGAAATTCTAGTCTAGATATATTCCCACTACCCTGTATTACCTATGAATATCTTTTTTTTTTTTTCTTTTTTTGAGACGGAGTCTTGCTCTGTTGCACAGGCTGGAATGCAGTGGTGTGATTTCGGCTTCCTGCAGCCTTGACTGCCTGGGCTCAAGCAATTCTCTCACCTCAGCCTCCTGAGTAGCTGGGAACACAAGTGTGTGCACACCCAGATAATTAACAAATATTTGTACAGATGAGGTTCTTACTGTTACTCAGGCTGGTCTCAAACTCCTGGGCTCAAGTGATCCTTCTGCCTTAGTCTCCCAAAGTGCTGGGATTACAGGCGTGAACCACTGTGCCCAGGCCGAACACCTACTTTTAATTAGAGTATGTATTATCCTTTTGCACTACTTTTTTTTTTTTTTGAGACAGAGTCTCGCTCTGTTGCCCAGGCTGGAGTGCAGTGGCACGATCGTGGCTCACTACAAGCTCTGCCTCCCGCGTTCACGTCATTCTCCTGCCTCAGCCTCCCGAGTAGAGGGGACTACAGGCGCCACCAAGCCTGGCTAATTTTTTGTATTTTTAGTAGAGACGGGGTTTCACCATGTTAGCCAGGATGGTCTCGATCTCCTGACCTCGTGATCCACCTGCCTCGGCCTCCCAAAGTGCTGAGATTACAGGCGTGAGCCACCGTGCCGGGCCCCTTTTGCACTATTTTTAAAGTCTACTTTTTGCAGCTGAAAAATGACATTTGAGTTTGACGTTTCAATGGCATTATTAACATCACTTCTTTTAGTGGGAATAGAAGTTAATGACAGGCATTAAAAAGAAAGTGGTCTCTGAAGAATTAGGATGGAGACCACAATCTAGGTTTAAAAGATTTAGCTTTGACTTTTCTTTAAATCTTCAGAAAAATGGAAATATAGTCCATTAGTTGGTAGATGGCAGAAAGAATGTAAGCTCTGTGAAGGTAAGGATATGTGTTTACTGCTGTATCTCCAGACTCTAGAACAGTGATTGGTACACAAACATATGCTTAATGAATAAATATTAAAGTTGAAAAATATCAACTTTAAAACATGTCCTTAATAGTAAGATTCATTTTGCTCTGACATAATTTCCTTTCTAGTATTAACTATTTATAACTAAAAAGTCTAGCATATAGTAATCTAACCATAAAGTAGGGGATTTTTATTAAAAGATTAAGAGTAAGAAATAAAAGACTAAATAAGGCCTTGAATAGCTTTATTGAAATCTGTATAAATAAACATGCACATTTCAAATGTAAACTCAAGTGAACTCAAGTGCAGACAAAATTTTAACCTCTGTCATGCAGGAGGTTAGTTTACATTAAAAAAGAAAAAAAGAAAAAAAACCCAAAAAACAAAAAAAACCCAAAGCAGCTTTTAAAATACCAGGATGATAAACCAGCTTTAATATCAAGATATAAAGCAAAGCCATGATCAACATACCTCATTTATCCTGGTCAAATGCATTTTTTTAAAACTTTTAAATGCTAACATAAATAAATAATTTACCAAAATGTGCACTCACAGAGTGAACTTTTATTTACAATACACAATTTATAATCTATTGTATTTGATTAGTTCAAGTGAAGAACATTATACTTTTTGCTTTAATAACAGTGGGACACAAAGCAATTTCTCAGGTAGTCGATATGTGAAATGTGCCCCAGCATTTAGGTTTTCTATTAAAGGCAGTATTGTATGCCAATTTACAATACATTCTTTCAACTAGATCAAAGGGAAAAAGCAGCAAATAAAAATGTTTCAAATGTTCACACATATTTTTGGCATCCTGGATCCTTGAATGTGGTGAACTAAAATCAAATTCAAGGTGTTTATGCTGTATATACTGTACAGGTTCTGACTCTGGAACATGCAAATGCCATTTCTCTTATAACAAGTTACCTTCTGAGAAAAGCTGTAAGGCTATGGTGAATTCCATCAGGAACACACAAAGAAAGTTAACAGACCTACCTTTATAGCCAATTGTCCATTAATGATTTAAAGGCCAGTATATGAAAAAAATTTCTCATTTAAGCTTGATGCAATTATTACTATGGATACAGAATACTATTAAGTCTGTCCTTATATTACAATAATTGGGAGAGCTAAAGTTGCCAAATTACCACAAAATGGGGTAGAGAAAAACAGACAGCAAAAATTTTAATTTTGGACCAACACCCAATTAAAGATATACATTTTAAAGCAAAAAATGTTTCTGAATGTCTGAAGAATAGATCCCAATAGCAGTAAATAATACTTACATGTAACTGAAAAATGACTTTAGATGAGTATGAAATCTAGAACCTGTTTCCACAGTGGCAGTAAAATGAATATAATATTCTGGATTTTTAATGGTACTACAAAAGGAAATAGCTTTTCCAAGGTTGTTTCTCGTATCATGATTTGGTTTTTTAATAGGCCCACATTGATTACCGGAATAAATTTGAAACTGTGGTTTTTGAAGAATGCTGCCGCAGTATTTATGCCACATTGATACTGCAGCTAAATATCATAGTAGTATGTATGGCAGCCTAATGCACATGAACTAGATTATCCAAAAACTAAGTTCAGCCATAGTTTTCTTGCAGTATTATTAGAGCAAAATAAAGGACCAACATCCACAAATTTAACATTTGTCATCAACTCACATCCAAAAAATTAAAGGAAACATAATTAATCAAAACAGCAGCAAACTTAAAAGGGATTTATTTGTGATTTCCTATATATATTTAGCTTGTAAATACAAGACTGTAAATGTATTAAGAGACAATTTCTGTTAAAGTTTTCATTGTGTTTCACTTCAAGTACTGCACAAGTTAAAATCTGATAAAGGATTTACATTCGGTTATCTGAAACTCCCCATCTCAGACTTTTGTTTTAATGTGGTGGGTAACTTCATCATTTCCATAGATACCACCAGCAGGAAAGTCTCTCTTTTATGGCTTCTAGGACTTTCATTAGTTAGTGTGCATACAGTTTTCATTTTCTATATCATTGTCATTATCATTGCTATCTTCATCACTTTCTAATGGGATGCCAGTGGCAGCTGAAGCACCTTTAGTTTCTCGGTCAAGGGGAAAAAAGCCAGTTCCACTGAAAGTGTCTTGTCTCTGGTAGAAGAGTACATATGCTGCTTTGGACTGTCAAAACAAAGGATGTTAAAATGGTTATGATTCTCAAATATCACATTAAACACATTATGAATTTTTAGGTGGTCACCAATTTTGGTGAGAGGGCATAAATCAAATAGAAAAACCATGCATGGTCAAATGGAAGTTACCAAAATTCATTAAATAGAAGACAATTTCTAATAAAGGAAGAATGGTCGTTAGAATTACAAATTTTTATGTGCTTCTAAATTATTTGGACCAAGAAATAAATGCAACTGTATCACAGATTAACCTAGTTACTCTAATGTAAAATAGAATTCTACGCTTTCTTTCCTGTCATCTCTTAAGGAAAAGGTAAATTCCTTCCTTCTAATACTAGTCACTTCATCCCATGTTTGCTGTAGAGTCCACCTTTTCCTACCATCTTAAAGATACTGTTCCATCAATGGTCACTGTGTATCTTTAATGAGCCCTTATCCACTGGACTTTTCTCTTTGGCCTTAACAAATACCTAAGGTTTTTCCTATCTATAAGTCCCTCTCCATTCTACCTCCCCTTCTAGCTGCCATATACCTCCTCTCTTCCTCTTCCTCACAATCAGGGTGATAAACAGAATAGTCAATACTCATCATTCACTCTCATGCACACTTCTCAACTCAAAGTAATCTAGCTTTTCCCCAAACCATCCTAGTAAAATGGCTTTCAGTAGGGTCAATAACCTAATAAACAACTGAAATGGGTGCCCTTTTCAGTTCTTTTGGTCAATCTCTCACTATTTAATTTAATTTAATGCTTCACTATTTCTTTTCCTATCAACAAAACAATTTTTTGCTTCTGTGACAACACTACTCAGATCTCCTACTATCTCTTTGGCTTCTTCTCAGACTCTTCTGTGGACTCATTAAATCCTGACCTTTAAACATACTATGTTCTGTCCTCAGCCTACCATTGTCTCAACCTGTATCCTCTCACTAGATGATTCATTTAAACCTATGGCTTCAACTGCTGCCTAAGGCTGACAACTCAAATGTATAACCTAAATCAGTTCTCACCCCTGAACTCCAGTCTTAATAGTCCAACAACCTAATGGAAATTTCCACACAGTTATCATACAGGCATCTCAAACTTCAACAGCAACTATTCTTCCTATATTCCCAATCTTGGTGAATGGTGAAGTAAAAGTCATCTTAAACTTCTCCTTCTCTGGATCTCTACATCTATTACCTTTATTATATCTTTTATCAAGTTATATTAATTCTATCCAGTAAATATCTCATAAATCCATTCTTCCCTTGTTTATATTGTTCTAACTACTATTTTAATTGCTTAAATTATGTGACAGCCTCCTGTATGGCTTTTCTGTTTCTTTATTCAGTGTCTCCAATCTATCTTCTATGATGTTCTCAGAGAAATGTGAAGACACAAACTGAACAATGTTATTCTCTTGCTTCACAATCTAATGGCTTCTCATAGTCTGTAAGAAAATGTCTAAACAACTAGAATGCCACTTTTCTTGATCTAAGCGCTAAATTTATCTCCAGCCTAATTTCTTCCCCATGTCCCTTTAAGAGCTTTTCCTTTCAGTCACATCCAATTATGTGCTGTTCCCTTAAAATATCATGCTTTGTCATGCCTCCTTGTTTTTGTAGATACAGTTTTCTTTGCTTAGAACACCTTTTGTTTAATTTACTCTTATTTTTACTAGCAGACGAGGTCAGACATCATCTTTACCACAAGAACTTCCCTGTACTGGTATTATCCCCTCAAACCCTAAATCTGAGTTGAGACAGAAGTTCCCTTTCTAAGTGGCCATAGTAAGGTATTTAATAATACTTATTATGCTGTAATTGTTAATTTACTTCTCTGTCTTCTTTAGTTTATAAATCAGAGACAGCTACGTTTTAAGCTCTGGACTGAGTGACAACTGTCTTTTTAACTCTGTTTAGAATGGAGTCTTTTGTGTATCTCTCTCTCTCTATCGTATTCAATTTGTGGACTAAATGAAGAATCATCATTGTTAAAATGCATGGCAACATCAAATTCGTAAATTATATATAAACAAGATAACTGTTTATTTGAAGCCAAGATTAGGGCAGTGTTGTTAACAAGACTGATGAGGAGGTGGGCAATTTGAGAATGTCTGGACTGGGAGATTAAGGAAGAGAACAGAATTGAATTTCTTTTGCAGAAAAAAAGAAATTAGGAGTTTAAGTATAAACAAAAAATGTGGTTAATTAAAACACAATTTAAAAAATATTTATAGTATTCAAGTCTCTCTGTCATAGATACGGGGAGATAAATGACAGCATATATACATATATATGTATGCATCTGTGTGTACACAAACCCATACTGAGAGAGTCAGCGGTGGATGATAAACTGATGCAAGTGTGAAGAGACGGAACTTCCTCATTTTTTTACTATTCAGAAAATATCAAAGTAGTAAGTACACAAGTATTAATCCTTTATAAATCTGTAATTTGTTTTATCTAATTATGTCATTTTGAGTTTAAATACTTAATTTTCATAAGGCAAGATAAGACTTTAAAGATCACAGATACGGTAAGGTACTTCAAGGATTTTTTTTCTCTTGTTTAAACATCCTGGCTTTAAGTAGTCAATGTCTAGAAAGTTAAGAGCTGAATCTACTTTCCAAAGCAAAACTTAATTATTTTTATTAGAAACTCCATGTTGAAAACTACCAAAAATTTTTTCACCTTGCAATTTATGCTTTTGTTAGTGGGAAAATTTAGAAGACAAATTTCCATTTAGGGGACAATTTGACATTTCTTTAAATAAGAGTCAGTCTCTTTTAGCTACTTAAGCTACTAGAATATAAATTACAGTGTTCCATGAGCCCCTTTTATTAATTTATATTCACTCCTTAAGGCAGTGAATCCCATAGTTTTCAGGAAATATAAGACAAACTTACCACAATTTGGTCTTCAGATGCAGTGGAGACACTACTGTCATCAAAATAGTACCATTTTCCATCATCTTTATTTTTTGCAAAAGCAGTATCTAATGAAAAAAATATAATCACTGTGACAAAAATGATCTTGGTTTTCTGGGGAACTCCTCAAAACTCTGTAATCATCTATATAAGGAATATCTACTAAAACTGCCTGATAATCATCTATGAGGCTTATTTATTACACATTCAATTGATTCAAATGATTTCTAATTTCCGCAATTAGATACCTAAAATAATTTTCATATAAGTTGAAACATTCTTTTTTCATCTCAGGAAAAAACATTATTTTTAAATTCACAGAATAACACGATTGATAATAAATGGTAATTAACATTCATGTAGTGCTTACTGTGTACCAGGCATAGTGTTATGCACTTTACATGTATTGTCTCATAAAGAAGGTATTATCATTACAATTCTCCCCACCTTAGAGACAGGAAATTAAGACATCAAAAGAAGGATAATTTACTCAAGGTAGTATACTGTTAGCTAGCAGTTAGGATTTAAACCTAGATCTGTTTCTGACTTCAAAGTTTGAAATTTCAACTATTATTAAATTTTCTATAACAATTTCTTTTCTGATACCTCTACTCATTATGCTATAGTGTTTTTTTTTTTTTAAAAACACCAGAATCTCTTTTAGTCTTTAACAAAAGTATAGTCGGTCCTGTGCATACATGGGTTCTGCATCCCTGAACCTAACCAACCACAGATCAAAAATATTTGAGAAAAAAAAAAATTCCACAAAGTCCTGAAGAGTAAAACTTGAATTTACCATGTGCTGAGTACTATGCTACATTCATGTGAATGAAGTGATGTGCAGGCATTGTATTAGGTATTACAAATAATCTATACATACAAGTATATGAGAGGATGTGGGTAGGTTATATGCAAATACTACAATATTTTATATAAGGAACTTGAACATCTGTGGTATCCACTGATACAAAGGATTGACTCTACACAGCAAGAAAAAGGCAAAAAGTGATTCATTAATCCACATAATTTTTAAAGATCTGCTTTAAGTTAAAAAAATGCCCCTTTTCCCATCCCATGCCTTGTATAAACTACTCAATAACTGAAGAAATAAAGTTGCACAATGTTTCCAAAATAATTATATGTGGTCATTGCTTCTAAAAAGTGACACTTTGTAGGGTATGGCTTCTAAATAATTCTTCCCATCCTAAAGTAAATATTATTATTCTTCTCATTTGTATGTAAATAAAAAATTGAGGTATTATCCTTAATATGGCTGAAATCAAAGGGCAATATTCTCTTTCTATTAAGTTACCTGTTTAGATGATGTTCAGAGGGAATGACAATACTTTGAAAGTAAGGTAAGCATTATCTTTGGTGAACCTCCACTGGTGGCCAGAAGATAATTCAAAAGACAAGCCGATCAACCAACCAGCCAACTAACCAATCAATCACAATAAAATAACGGTTTAAATTCTAAGTTGTTTGTTTAACGATTTTACTGAGTACCTAGCAGGTAGAAGAAATGTTTCATATTCTACCTGGTGTTGGTTCCCTCTCTTCAAAAGCCAACCATGGAGAGAAACCGTAGAAGCAGAGGAAAGTTAGAGTCAAAGGAACTAACAACAACAACAAAAAATTGAGAACCCTGTTCTCAATATATGAACTCAATAATATTTCTGTGTGCATTCAAGATGGCTGCAGAATGCGACAGAATGGATGGAGACAGAAATGAGAAAACAAGAAAGCTTTTAAAATTCATGCTTCAATTTTTGTCACAGAAATCAGCAATACTTAGGCTAACTGAATCAGAGTCTTATTGCTGTTTGAAAGTCCTGTTGGGCTAACAAAATATTTGACAACTAACATGACTGTACCCCATGCAGCTGGTTAAAAATCAGCCTTGGTGAGGAGTGGAATGAAACAGCAGTGGGCTGAACACTTTGAGCACACTTTTCTCTGTTTTCTCTCCTTCCAGCTACAAAGGACCTCTGCTAAGCTGTTGCTGTGCATGCTGTATTGTTTCTTGACCTGTATCCTTTCTTAAATCTAAGTAAACCTGGTGCTGGGTGAAGCCTTTTGTGTGCTGTGAGTTCATTGATCTCAACCCAAGACCAGCGCAGAGCAGATGCTGCACTTAGGTCTGTGTGATCTGTAAGAGACACACTCAACACAAAGGCACAGAGTTTGTAAATTAAATGATATCAAGAAGAAAGTTAGAGTAACACTTGTAATACCTGAGAAAAAGAAAAAAGGGGCAAAGAATGTCAAATCCTGGTGTTAAAAGGAACAACATAGAAAGAAGAACTACCCATTATGAACCTAAGTATAACTATGCAAAATATTAACAACTAATAAAACTGTTGGGAGAAGCAGGTCAATCAACACTTTAGTAGGAGTCCTGACAAATTCCTCTCAGGAATAAAATGAACATAAAAAATAACCAGGGATAGTAATGGTTTGAATACAGTGATAAGCTTAAAATATCAGAGATATAAAGAACTCTATATTTAAATGGGGAATGTATATATTTTTTCAAGCATACAAACATTTAAGGAACAGACCATGTACTAAGACATGTTGGAACTTTCAGACTCCTAAAGATTAATGTAGACGATGCTCTCAACTGCTATGTAATAAAAGAATGAAGTGACAAACTCTATATTTGAAAACTAAGCATATGATTAAATGACATTGTGCTAATTAGGAAATCATAAAGGAATGAAAATCTGAAGCACAGCTAAAGCAGTACTTAGCAGAAATTTATAGCCTTTTAATTAGCCTTCAATATAGGAGAAACAATGAAAAGCAAAAAGCTAAGCATTCAATTCAAGAAGTTGCAAGAAGAGTAACATAGAAACCCAAAGTAACAAGAGGAACCATACAATGAAAGGAAGGGAAGAAATCAATTAGATAGAATAAATACATACAAGCCAGGTGTGGTGGTGTGCACCTGTAGTCCCAGCCACTCAGAAGGCTGAGGTAGGAGGATCTCTTGAGCCCAGGAGTTCAAGACCAGCCTGGGCACCGTGGTGAAACCCCACTGCTACTAAAAACACAAAAAAATTAGCTGGGTGTGGTGGCATGTGCCTGTAGTCCCAGCTACTTGGGAGGCAAAGGTGGTAGGATCACTTGAATCCAGGAGGTAGAGGTTGCAGTGAGCCAAGATCGTGCAACTGTACTCCAGCCTGGTGAGAGAGAGAGACCTGGTCTAAAAAAAAATGTATAGATAAAATAAAATATAATAATTATAAAAAGTATAAACACATACAATAACAAAAATAAAAATTTAATAAGATGAAAAGCTAATTCTTTGAAAAGACTAGTAAGATAGAAATCTCAGAAGACCGATACTTTTTTTTTCTTTTTTGAGACAGTCTTGCTCTGTTGCCAGGTCAGAGTGCAATGGTGTGATCTCGGCTTACTGCAACCTCCGGCTCCCCGGTTCAAGCGATTCTCCTACCTCAGCCTCCCGAGTAGCTGGGATTACAGGCACGCACCACCACACCCAGCTAATTTTTGTATTTTCAGTAGAGACGGGGTTTCACCACGTTGGCCAGGATGCTCTTGATCTCCTGACCTCGTGATTCACCCACCTCCACTTCCCAAAGTGCTGGGATCACAGGCATGAGCCACTGTGCCTGGCCAAGAAGAATTGATTTAAAAAAAAAAAGAGAGAGAAAAAGAATGAAAATAGGATAAAAACAGTGTGATATAAGTATTACAAACAGCAATTCTTAAATAAAATGAAAAACCTCAATGAAAGGGATACATTTTTAGAAACAGAGAGAACATCAAAATATACACAAAAGGAAAAAGAAAACTGAATAGACCAATAGGCATGACATAAATAAAAACAATATGTCTGTAAAGCCTAAATGGCTTTACGGGTTAATTCTACTAGACTTTGATGAACAGTTAATTACTATATTGTACTAGATGTTCCAAAAACCAGAAAAAGGATAAAGCATCTCAGCTTGTTTTATGACTCTAACTTTTATCCCAAACTAAGATAATGAAAATATAAAACACTTACAAAACCATTTCACTTATGAATGAAATTGTAACAACCCTAAATAAGTTTGACTAAATCCAACTGTGTATCAAAAAATATATAATGATAAGTAAGATATATCCAAGGAATGTAAATATCATTCAACAGAAAAATCAACTGCTTGCAGAGTGTCGAGTGTTAGAGCCATCCTGGGCGGCAATCTGGTAACATTTACTCACTTAAACTCAGCAATTTCACTTTTGGGTATGCAGCCTAAATAAATTCTTACATAGGATACCATAAACAATGGTTTATCAGTCTTACAGTGGTAGAAAGTGAAAGGCAATTTAGATGTCCATCATGAGGTAAGTGGAGAGAGAAAATATGGTAGATGTAAATTATAAGCAGTGAGAAACAACTGACTAAATGGACACAAAGTAACACAGATAAGTCTTAATAAGTGTTGAGATCTAGTGAGATCTATAGCACAGTACCAATTAAATGAATAAATATTAATGATTTATAAGAGTATCTGCATCAAACATGTTAGAAAGCAAAGGGGAAGGAGAATGTGGAGGGAAATGCACTCTAAATGGGACAACATTCCCTCCTGGGCCTTGAACTGAGGAGTATGATGAACTCAATTCTCTATACCCTATGTGAAAAAAAAATGTTCAAAAGCTGACTCATTCATTAATCAATACTGAACTACTATATGCAAGACACATCTGATATTTTATCCTTAAGAAGCAATAAATATCTTATAGAAAAAAGTCTGGAGTTCTTCAAACACCACGATTGGGTAAAAAGGCAAACTGTCAACTTACAGTGTCCTCCTCCCATCCCTCCATAGTGGTTGGAAACAGCAATCAAATTATAGCGGCAAGGACCTGCATTTGGATTAATTAAGAATTCCGACATATCCAAGTCACTGTTTAAAAAAGAAACCAAGTTAATTTTTATGTTGTCCCTAAATGCAATGAATTCTATTCCCTTCTGCCATTGTTGTTTGACACATATATATATATATGTATATATATCTCTCTCACTAAAGAAATTATGAGTCAAATAACTTACAAAACAAATCATACATGTACCTCTGAGATATTAATATTTTGGCAAATATTTGTTTATGGGTTGAAAATTTTAAAATGCTTCATTGAGGATATTGAAGAAATATCTGCACTCTCATGTTTGTTGCAGCAATGTTTGCAACAGCTAAGATTTAGAAACAATCAAATCTTGTTGATTTGATGAAACTATGTGTTGCAATGTTGATGGAACTAAGTGTCTATCAACAGATAAATGGCTAAAGAAAATCTGGTACATATACACAATGACGTACTATTCAGCTATAAAAAAGAATGAGATCCTGCCATTTCCAACAACATGGATGGAACTGGAGATTATGTTAAATGAAATAAGCCAGGCACAGAAAGACAACAGCCCATGTTCTCATTTGTGGGATCTCAAAATCGAAAGAACTGAACTCATGGACAGTGAGAGTAGAAGGATGGTTACTAGAGGATGGCAAGGGTGGTGGGAAGGTAGGGGAGAGGTGGGGTGGGGATGGTTAATGAATTAAAAAAAAAACGAATGAATAAAACATACTATTTGATCACACAACAGGGTGACTATAGTATTAACTTAATTATACATTTTAAAATAACTAAGCGTGTGATTGGATTGTAACACAAAGGATAAATGCTTGAGAGGATGGATACCCCATTCTCCATAATGTGACTATTTCACATTCCATCAAAACATCTCATGTACCCCACAAATATATACACCTACTATGTACCCATAAAAATTAAAAAATAAAAAAAATAAAAATGTTGAATGTTGTCATTTAGATTAACGTTTTTATGCTAACACATTTAACTCTCAGTATACCAGGAAAAACAGTCATCGCTATTGACCATCTGGGTCCAGTAGATCTTCATTTTAAAGTCAATTTTAGAAAGTACTTTATGGGCAGGGTCGGAGATTAAAAAAAAAAGAGGAAGTGACTTATGTGAAGAAAAATATAGGAATAGTGAAAACAACTTTCTTAGAAGTTTTAAAAAATATTAATATATCAAACCCTAATTTTATTCTACATTTGCTGTCTTTGATGACCTATATACCTGAAATGGGCAACATCCCTTGAATGTGACTGACTAATCATAATCTATCATTCAAGAACCTGGAAAATGACTATCTTGTAAAAAGCTTATTATTATTTCTGGTTGTTCTTCTTGTATCTGCATCATTAAAAAACAATAATGATTCTAAATTTTAAATACATCTCTAATAGATTCTAGTTTGTCATTACTTCTGATTCTTTATTTTTTTTTTTTGAGACGGAGTCTCGCTCTGTCACTAGGTAGGCTGGAGTGCAGTGGCGCGATCTCAGCTCACTGCAATCTCCACCTCCCGGGTTCAAGCGATTTTCCTTCCTCAGCCTCCCGAGTAGCTGGGACTACAGGCACGTGCCACCACGTCTGGCTAATTTTTTTGTATTTTGGTAGGGATGGGGTTTCACCATGTTGGCTAGGATGGTTTTGATCTCCTGACCTCGTGATCTGTTCACCTCGGTCTCCCATAGTGCTGGGATTACAGGCGTGAGCCACTGTGCCCAGCCCTGATTCTTTTTCTTATACTTACATTGCCAAATGCTATATTCTTGAAAACTTATAGCTCACTATTTTGTTAAAGAGAAAATGATCTTTTTTTCACTCAATAATTACAAATAATTTTAAATTTATAACCACCAATTATATTGAGTAATCCAATGAATATTTTATGTAATCTATTTCCTTCTAGTTACCTTTGTAGATACACCTGCCTTTAGCAATTGTCCACTTACTAACTGTATCAAGTACATTTTGGTGCACAAATATCACAGAATATGAAATAATACCACTGAAAGTTTTTTTTGCAAAATGGGATAGTACTAAGTTCTTGTACAAAATATTGTGTGATGCAGTCCTTCCTATTGAATGACTAAGTGATTGGGAATACAATGTTTCCTTTTTGTCATTCTGAATTCTCAACTGTTCAGTAAAAGCAGGGGAAGAAAAAAAGAGAGATAAAGCATGAAGATGTATACAGACTTCTTTGTACTTCTTTACAGACAAGATCAGGGTGCGTTCAAGGTGGTATGGCCATAGATGTATCTTTTTATAAATATGATGTCATATAATGGCAATAGGAAAACTGAAGGATGATGTAATAGGGATGATTTATTTCACTACGGTGTTATCCTTCTAAGCAATTCCATTATTCTGTTTTATTTTAGTCTTTTTGAAAACAGCATATTTAGGGCTGGGCGTGGTGGCTCATGCCTGTAATCCCAGCACTTTGGGAGGTCAAGGCGGGCGGATCACTTGAGGTCAGGAGTTTGAGACCAGCCTGGTCAATATGGTGAAACCTTGTCTGTACTAAAAATACAAAAATTAGCTGGGCATGGTGGCATACACCTGTTGGGAGGCTGAGGCAGGAGAATCACTTGAATCCAGGAGGTGGAGGTTGCAGTGAGCCGAGATTGTGCCATTGCACTCCAGCCTGGGCAACAGAGGGAGACTCTGTCTCAAAAAACAAACAAACAAACCAACAAACAAACAAACAAAAAAAACCACCAAGAAAACCCAACATATTTAGGAGTAAGTGATGAGTAATGATGAAATAATTCCTAGATAAACAAAATTACTAAGTACCATAAAGTATCTTAGATTTATAAATGAGACCAATTAACCCATAGGTAATATAACACAGAAGGAGTTTTATTGTTTTTAGTTTTTAAAAGTGTATTTCCTCTTTGGTCTTTGGAAAATCTCTAAGAAAAAATAAAAATTTTGAAACACTGATCCTTATAAATTGTTAGAACTACTCAAAAACAAACTTGAAAGCTGAAATTGGGTCCAATGGCACCTGATATTTACTAAAGGATAATAACAAAAAGCATCAAGTAAGTTTGAAAGAAGAGTTGCTCAATACTTATAAAATACAATTAAAGCTTACTTGATAGGGAAATCAACTAAGGTATCCAACTTGTCTCTCATGTATCGACTGTAAGAAAATCGCTTGAGATGTACTACAAGTACTGGAGGCAAGGACCATAAATCCAATTTCTTTGTGGCTTGCTGATGTTCTTTACAATTCGGACAATACCTAAGAATAAAGAGAAGTATTTAAAGCTTGATAGAGGTACAAACAACCCCTATTAATGAAAATAACAAAAAATGTTTGGAAAGTTCTACATTTATTCAGTGGGCAATTATCGTATGCCTAATATGTACCAGGTTGAAAGCAACTCTTGTTATTTTTATTTTCAACACATTTTCCAAAAAGGTTAACCCATTATAAATTAATATACAAACAAATATTTAAAGACATAATGAGGGCTAGATTATTTCTCTTTTAGTATGCAAAAAAGACATCTGTGCTGGAAGATAGGTATTAGAAAATCTCAAAACTGGGCTCTAATGGAATAACATCACAAAATATATCACTACACTTTTCCTAAAAAGCTTCTCTCAAAATGATTACATAGCTAAAATTTCTTGGAAAACAAGTAACTAAAATGAATTATTAATAGTATAATGGCTATTAGGAAAAACACAGTAATAAAATTAAGGCAACACTGTAACAGTATTTTTTAAGACATTCCTATCCCTCTTAAAAGGCTACCACTTATATAAAGAATCCTTTACTATTTAAAACATCAAAGAGAATTTAGTAATTACTTTTTCAAGTTAATGTGGCACGTATCTCAGAATAAACCCTTAAAGAAAACAAAAACAATTATTTAATTTTGTCTCTTACCAGGGATCTTCAGCACCTAGCTTTTCTTTTGTTGTAAAAAGTTCAATGCAATCTTTTAATTTCACAAAGGGTTTTTTAGGAGGTTTATACTCCACACTTTCATGTTTTTCAAAGTCCTAAAGAGAAGTATTTCTTGAGTTAAGAGAACAAATGAAACAAAACTCATTTTAGTGGTACCATCTTACTATGAATAATAATGAAAACTCCTAAACTTTCTCAAAAGAATCATAAAGCTTATTTCAGTTGAGATTTATATCATACTTCTAAATAATTCCTGTACACTCCTATATGGATGAGCAAAACATGTTCAAAATGAACTCTGAACCTTTGGGAAAAAAAAGGTATTTTTGCAAAGACTTTCTTTTCTAGTTCATGACCAATTTTTTACTGGCAAAATGAACGCTTGGTGGAAGCAAAGAATGTAACACAACAGTATGATTATCTCTGGTAATCACATAAAGTAAATCAAGGAAAGGTAAATAAGTGAGTGAGTGATGACTTACCTCAGCAGCATTTTCATCAAAATATCGTTTTTTCAAATCAGGATCCCAATCCAAAGCAAGAAAAGATCTTTCTAAGGTGGAAAATATATTTTTTCTTTAAAATTTAATATGTCTTAGTATTAAAGTATATTTTAATGTTAGGATATACACTAGAATAAATAAATAGCAATCTTTTCTACTTGTACAGGTGATTAGGGCAAATAGCAGTTTCCAAGCCATTGAAATAATTTAAGAGTTTAAAAAAAGATAGAAAACTTAAGCATGAATTCAATCTCCATTTATGAAACACAGACACACATTTTAGTCTACTTAGATATTAAGTCCTTTCATATAAAATTTGAGATAGAAAAGTAAATGGTGTATTTCTTGACAGGGCTGAATTTCATGGTTTTCACCTAAAAAACAAAAAAACATGCTCTGCTTGTTTAATGTTCAAGCCATTTTTCACAAATACTTACCATCTAGCCTAAGCTGCCTATCATCAAATCTTATATGCCTGGTATCATCTTTGATGTAGTTGATATCAGTATTGCCTAAGTTGTTGAACTGGAATGTAAACAATCGTTTTTTGTGTCCCGTGAGTTGACCTTTGCAAGTGTCCTCAGTACATAATCCATTTTCAGAATCATTATCTCCTCCAACTGAATCTTCAGATTGACTGTTTTCATTCTCTGAGGGAAGTTCTTGATCCTGGCTGGATTCATCATCTGGCTCATCTGTTTCCATTTCACCTAATTTTAGATATTAGAGAACTTTAAATAAACTCAATGTTATATTTTTAAATTATTAATATTATTAGTCGTAGGTTTGCAGGTATTTTTTAGCTCTTTAATTCCCATTTTCTTAACTTTCTCTCTGAAGCAATTATTTAAGTGAAACATTTTTATAATTTAACAGAAAAGTCTTACTTGGTGAGCCTTCTTCATGTATGCCATTTGGGCCATTCCCATTAATATTTTGGTCCTTACAGCAGTGTAGGGATCCTTCAGTTTCTTCAGTTTCAGTAGATATTTTGACATATCGGCTTAAGTAAAATCAGAAATCAAACAAGTTCAGTACTACAAAGATAAAAACTTTAAAAATGTTTTCATTCTATCAGTAAAACAAAACTTTTTAATGTAGTAACAGTGGTCACTTAGTAGATTCAAGGTTAAAATCAAACTTACAGTACCATATATATAACTGACTAATAATTTGTTTTGCTCCTCTTTATAAAAATAATTAGTACGTTACCTTTTAGGTTAAATGTTAAATATTTGTTGCAAATAATTTCTCAACTTATCCTCATTTAGATGGTATATATTGTTGCTAAAAACACTTATTTTTGTATAATGTGATCTTTACATATGGGTTATGAAACCATAATAATTAGATATGCAAGAAAGAATACTAAATGTATCAGCTTTCAAAGATAAAAGGGATCAAATGACATCCTTGATAACTTTATAATTCAAATAAGGGGATTTAGGAAGGCAAAAAATAGGCTGCCTTACAATACTATTAATCATGAACTGGTAATGTATATAAAGAAATGAAGCATTTGACATTTGTCATTTCACAGTGCAAACATATAGCATTTGACATTTGTTATGATTTCACAGAACAAACATGTAACACATAATTATTATAACATAAATTCCTATTTCCTTCCAACTGTAAAGTTTTGGCCTAAAATTGCTACAGACTTCATGCTTCCTGGGTTTGAAATTACTTCCATAATGTGTTTTACGTGAATAAGAAAGTAGATTAGGACTATAATCTGACTATAAACAAAATTGAGACAATACAGACTTGTATAATTATATTCTGATAGTACCTTGTGTGTTTATTTTTATTAGCTATTTTATATTTTATTCCCATATTTATTTTGTCAATGTAGAATTGTTTGGCACTTACCACATTCTCAAGAGCAGGAGATTATAAAGTTTGTCTTCAGTATTGTTTCGTGGTACAGCCATAAGAAAAGGCTGACCAAAAAGTGAAGAACCAGTATGGTGGGTATAACTTGAGTGTCTGAATTTTTCTCTTAGGCAAACAGGAATAATCACGTGCTCTGTATCTTCTGTCCTATTGATGTTAATTTCAAACCTACAAGGACAAAACTGACCATAAACTCTCAAAATTTTATGTTACTTCTTTTGATTTTTTTTTTCAAGTAATATTTTGCACAATGAGTTTTATACTTACACATAAATATCATCTCGTTCCATAATACTACTAAGGTTTTCATCCATAGCGAATATTCTGTGAAATCTATGATTGTATATATCAGTAACTATCATCTAAAAGGAAATAAATTTCTATTAAGCTGGTTTTATAACACTAAGAAACTAAATACCAACTTATATACTTCAACCCCAGAAACATCTTACCTTATCTGCAGGTATTCCTGACAAAGCAGACAATGCTGTACAAAGATCTAATATGTTTCCAATTTTGGGGACAACCACTTTGTACTAAAAAACAAAAAAGAATTGTAATAAATTTGTTACTTTGGAAAAAAAATTCAGTAAATGAGAGTGACCTCATGGTTGCTACCTCACATTCATTTGGCATTTGGCTCAGTGTTTGTTTCTAATCTTGCCACCATCCTGGGTCCTGGGTGACAATGTCCACATGGATAATTTGTCCTAGTCTTATCATTCCTTGGCTCCTCAATTCAAAGACATTTGCATTAATCAACCTTAGTCAACTTATTAGATCCTGTCATCACTTGAAACTGCTCCCACTTTTGCTATGTTTTTTTGTTTGTTTTTTAGAGACAGGCTCTCACTCTGTTGTCCAGGCTGGAGTACAGGGCATGATCTTGGCTCACTGCAGCCTCAACCTCCCAGGCTCAAGCCATCTTCCCAATTCAGTCTCCTGCGTAGCTAGGACTACAGGCGTGTGCCACCATGAGTGGCTAATTTTTATTTTTTAGAGACGAGGTTTCATTATGTTGCCCAGAATGGTCTCAAAATCCTGGATTCAAGTGATCCTTCTGCTTCAGTTTCCCAAAATGCTGGGATTACAGGAGTCAGTCACTGTACCCAGCCCCACTTTTACTATCTTAAACTAACAGGCTACTGTCTAACCGCTACTTCTTACTTCTGGAAATTCATTCTTCTCTCTTCTTGGCTTGCACAGAGATTTCTATTCCTTTTAACTCTGTTTTCTCCCAGTTTACCAGCTCCCTACTGTCTTCTTGCCCTTCCACCCAGGCCCTACATGCTTTATCGCGAACCTTTAATGTCTTTGTTACTCAATTCCATTCATTCCACTCTTGCTAAACTTTCTCAGAGCTGTTCATATGTGCTGGAGAAAATTTCTCAATTTTAGAGGTTGGTGTGCTACAAATTCACAGAGCCCAATCTCAACCGACCCTTTGACAGTACCCAGAAATAATTCTGCATATCACACATCTGCTTATTCTCTCATTTATCTCAATAACTATTTAAAATCTTCATCGGACTGGGTGCAGTGGCTCACGCCTATAATCCCAACACTTTGGGAGGTCAAGGCGGGTGAATCGCTTAAGCCCAAGAAGTTCGAGACTAGCCTGGACAACATGGCAAAACCCCATTGCTACAAAAATACAAAAAATTAGCTGGGCATGGAGGCGCACACCTGTAGTCCCAGCTACTTGGGAGTCTGAGGTGGGAGAATCCCTTGAGCCCAGGAGGCAGAGGTTGCAGTGAGCGAGAGCTGAGATCACACCGTACTGCACTCCAACTTGGGTGACAGAGCAAGACCCCGCCTCAAAAACAAACAAACAAACAAAAAAACAAAAAAACTTCACCATTCTTTAGGCTTCCTATTTCACTACTGCTCCCTTAATATCAGCACAATACCTATTTTACCTCAAAAACAGAAGCTACTGGGTGGGAAAATCTCCAACTTCCTGTTCTCCTACTAACTTCTTTGAATACATATAGGTACTTTTTTGTCTCTTGCAACACATGGGAAGACAGGTGTCTCTTTTCTTATTCAAGGCTAACCCTAGCATCTATGCTCTAAATCCCATGCTCTTCTGCTTTCTCTGGGACCTAAACCCAGCAATTATTCTTTCTTCCATTTTATCTTGACTCTTGCATAAGCACTGGAATATAAAGTCTCTCAAAAAACAAGCGTCCCTCATTGCTTTCCCTCTAATTATCTCCCCTTTTCCTCTATTTTATAAATAACTTTATTAATGGTATCTATAATTTCCTTATCACATTTACTTCTCAACCCTCTTGCTGGCTTGTCTTCACCTCTTTATTTAACTTGTTTCCAAGGTTGCCAATACTGTTTACAACTTATCAGTCTTTATTTTATTGACCTCTTTGTAATATGACTGCTGACCACTTTCTCCTTAAGAAATTCCCTTTCCTTATAACACGACTACTTCTTAATTCTTTTCTATTGCTATGATCATATTCTCCTTTTGAAGTTCTCCTATAGTGTTCTTTAGAGTTTTGTCTTTAGCCTTCTTCTCAATTTTATATGCTCTCCCTGGATGAGGTGACAGTATCTCCTGATTTGCTTTGGCCAGTCCTGGATTAGCCTGATATCCTAGTATAATTATTAATGACAGTCCCTTCTATTTTCAAAAGAGTTCTTGTTTAGATGATAAATCACAGGGTCACCTTAGCCTTAAGTAATCTCATTCTTCTAAAACACTGACTATCATTTTCATAGAGCTCATTGCCCAATTTACATCTAAAGCAGTCTCTCTCCTTTGGTCTAGATACACAAATTCAATGCCTACTGGATATCTCTACCTAAGTGTTCTCATGCATCTATAAGTCAGCATGTCCAATGCTAAACACAGGATTGGGTCATGTTAGGCCACCATGCTCAATACGAAAATCGATTCCTTCTTCAACTTGTTCTTCCTATATATTCCACTAAAACAGCACTGCTGTCTCCTCTTTTCCCGTCAAGTAAACTTGGCATCATCTTTGAATATACTCATACATTTTCACTTCCCACATTCAACTGGTTCTTCAAACTGCCATCCTGACACTCATTTTCTGAGCTGAAGCGTTTGTCATTTGTCTGTCGTCTGATCACTAAAAGCTTCCTATCTGGTCTTAGTGCTAAGCCTTTTCTAACCAATCTCTGTGCTAGCCAGAATCATCTTTCTCAAACACAATTCTGGCCATATAATATCTATACTTAATAGTCTTTAATGGCTTCCCTAGTTTTTAGGATGAAGTTCAAACTTCTTATACTGGCATCAAAGTTCTTTGTGATCTAGCTCCTGCTTGCCATACTTGTAGACTACAGAAGTGGGCCATGTCCTCTTTTGCCATAAGTTCTTTCTACATGCCATTATCTTGGCCTATAATGTTTTTATTTCTAGTTTTCCCCTGCTTATAACCTAATTGTCCTTCAGAATTCATCACAGGCCTCATAACTAGTTTGGGTAGGTTACTCTTTCTGTGTTTTCTTGCAGCAAGCACCCTGTCAGAGCAATTTTCACACTGTATGACAAGCTTCTTGAAGAACAAGGACTAGAAACACCATTATATTTCTAGCATCTTGCACAGCATGAGAGCCCAAGACATAATACATATTCAATATTTTTCCTAATAAGCTTCCATGACCTAAATCAACTTCAGTGATGGGAAAACTCGACAAACAGGCAAACTCAGCTAATTTCACTTTCCTCACGAACTGGTTAAAGCAAGTGATCATTTTGTATTTGAGTTGGTACTGCCTCTAAATGGAAAAAAGAAAAAAAAAAAAAACACAAAACACAAAAACAACCGAATTTCTCTGTGCTAACCATGGCTCTAACTTCCACAAATTTATATCATTGGTCACCAAATGAGAAAAGTGGTAACACAATGAAATTCATATTGCTGGAAAAATAATTTCGAGCCCAATTTATGGAAGAGTACTTATCATATACCTTATGGACTAATGTGTAAATTAATGCAATTTGCCACTATTATGATATAGATTACTTATATTATTGGCATGGGAGAATACTATCTCTAACAAATGTGCTGTAGAGGAATAAAATATCTACATTTTTTTTTGTTGCAGTAAATTTATACTCATTATTCTATGCTCTCTTGCTCCATTACACTCATTGGTGTATATTTGCAAAGTTACAAACTAGAGAGGTAAGGATGTGGTTTGGCACTGTTATAGTTTCTCACCATTGAAAAGAATGTTAACAATCTTGTACTTAAAAAAGAGTGAATAAGTAAATACCTAAAGGACATAACTTTAAAAATGTGAACACATATTCCCCAGGCCAAAAGTAAAAGCAGGTCTTTATTGGCTCTGGTCACAGATAAGGGATAGTACTTATCCCTTATTTCACTCCCCAGTGAAATACTGATGAGGGCATTGTGTTCAATGAGTTCATAAAGAAAACATAACACAGCAGAAAAACAAATAGCTTAAATTTGCATAACTGAGTACATACCTAGTATCTACTAGACTTTAATTACTTTGAATAAAAGGACTGTGTTTTTATGAACACTACATACACTCTGCCTTTGTTGACAGTAAACCCAAATACATCCCTGAATGGTAAGATCATAATTTTGTTCAAAGTATAGCTTTCATATAGACATCATGACTATTACGAACTAACAAACCGAGCTATTTGGCTAAAAATTTACAGAAAACAATCTTCTAAAGCAGGAATCGTATCTGTTTTGTTTAGTGAAACAGCTTTATACTTAGTAGGTGCATAGTTAAGTATCTTGATGAATAAAATATTTGAATACTTCTTGTGCATTAATATCTACAAGCCACAAAAGTTGGAAATACAAAGGTTTACAAGGTCCCTGTCTTCAAAGAACTTGTAGTCTAAGGAGAAAATATAAAAGTAAGCCAAAAGTTATAATAAAATTAGTTAAGTGTTAGAATTTAAGGAAAGAGAGGTAGAAAAAGAAGAAGTTACTTTCACTGGGATGGGTCAAGTGTCAGAAGAGGATTATATAATAATTAAGGGAGAAAAGACAGTGCTTTACCCAAAAAATATAAATAATGCAATTATAAAACTAGGTAACGGAATCAGGCAGACAATCTGACAGTAAGACTTACCACAGGACTTTTGCACAGAATAAGTAATATGTGATACTTCAAAGTATTAAAAATTAGAGAACATTACTGAACGAAATATTTTCAGTCTAACTTCTACTTTAAGTTCCTAAAATGCCTAAAAATTACAAGTATTTAAATACACTATTATCACATTATGAATTAAAATGTACAGTATTAGCTTTACTTCCAATAGCCACTAGTAAAAAAATTACAGTTAACACGAAACTTGAAGTTTAAAAAACATAAAAAATGTTAATCTTCATAAGGTAATATTCACCCAATATTATAAAAACAAACCTCTCATCTTTCTTTCATGAGAAAAAGCCTTTTGAGAATTTTTTATATGACACATATTGCTCTTTCAAGATTGTAAAAAGTTACACTAATTTCCAAAGTATTCAGCTTATAAAATCTCTTATACAAATAAACATTATTGATTGGGCTTGATAATTCAACACTTAATTTTTATAATAAGGACTCAACACTAATTTTTTAATAAAAATAACAAATGCAAAAAAACCAAAAAAACAAACAAAAAAACCCCCATGATTTACCTGCATAGGTTTGGTAAGTGGATCCATTCTAACTAAGTAAACTTCCAAAGTGCGTTCTTTTTTCATGGGCAATGGAAGTGTCAAGTAACAAAAAGGATCAAATGTTACTGAAATCTTAGCACACTCAGGACAAACTAAAGTTGATTTGAAAAGGCCATGAAATATATCTACTATGATAGAATCATTTCGTTTTAAATGGTTTTCCCAGGCTTCTTCGGCAACTACCTACAAGGATAACAGACACAAATTAGAAAGAGGTTATCACAAAATTATAACAATGGTGACAATAAGATCACGAAATTTACCTTATCTGGCCTTCCATCTGCATCTTTTAATTGTATATATGGTTTTTTCCTAATTCTATTCAAATCCTCATGTAATCCATCTAATAGGAAAGCTAATAGTTCTTGACAGTCTTGCTGCTGATATCCAGAGAACTGAGGTGCAAAACGTCCTACCTGTGTCTGTAAGAAATGCAGAACCATAAAATCAGTTCTAGGAAAAGGATTGATTTTTAAAAATATGTACAATAGATTCTCATTATTCATGGATTCCACATTTGTGAATCTGCCTGCTTGCTAAAATTTATTTGTAACCCCAAAATCAATTCATGGTCATTTGGCAAAAAATTTGAGTCACTTGGTATGCGTGTTACCAGCTGGGGTTGAACAAGGTGATGCTTTGGCTTGTTGTTTCAGTTCTGAATCTATAAACAAGTGTCTTTTGTAGTTTATTTAGTGTTATGTTTTTTCACATTTTTGTTCTTTTTGTTGTTAATTTCAGTATTTAAAATGGCCACTAAACGAAGTACTAACATGCCAGGCTAGTGTTCCTAAATGCAAGAAAGCTGTGATGTGCTTTATGGAGAAAAAGTATGTGTTAGATATGCTTCATTAAGACATGAGTTATAGTGCTGTTTGCTGTGAGTTCAGTGTTAAGGACTCACTCCTGTGAATAATAAAAACTGTATACACGAACAACAGGAATATATATGAATTATATTTTGTTTTGCATTCCTAGTAAGCACTCAACAAAGCTTATCTGGGACAAAATAGATCAACACATGTAATCCTTATATATAAAAATGTATTGATCTTTGGTCATAGATTTCATTGTCATTAATTGTTGTTTCACTATTTGTCAAAGGATTTTCCAGATGTTCTTAATTCTTTGCTTTAGGTATTCCTATTGCCTCCTCCTATAAATGTCTGGTAGGTAGATAGTAAGAGGCAGGTTCTCATCCTTGCTGTATTACCACATAAAGATAATTACGTATCTGAAAGCATTTTTAAGATAACTACTCTAGGCTCTCACTTAGTTTTTATGTGCAAAAGGAGGATGAGTCTTATAGAGATAACAGAAACATTAATGTTCATATTCAATTTTCCAAATCTTTGCATCACTTTTTTTTTTTGGATGAGACTGAAAATAAATCTAATAGTACGAATCATCATGTGACAGAAAAAACTCACATAAATCAAGAACCTATTTACACATAATTTCAAGACAGAAAATCTACCAAAACAAAACCAATTAGAAAGATGGGAAAGAGCTGAGAGATGGTTTGTCTGGACTAGTATGTCCAAAGGTTAGAATGTTAAGGAAGACAAATACAGAGGTATTTTGATTTGCTGGTTGTTTTTTATTTTCTAAGAACTAGTATATAGCTAATAAAAAATGTTGTCTAGTAGATGTCCTATATCAATGCCATTTAAATTACTTGTATAAATAACAACTTAAAATTGCTTATTCTCTTTACAAGTTTAAAATTTCTCAAAGTTTCACCTATATAGTTAAGTAGGAATTTTTTTAACAATATAAAGCTAAATTTCAGCCATAAAGCTTAATTTCAGCTCAGTTCTTATTTGAACAATAAATACCTTGATAAGTAACAATTCACACATGTGAATAACCTTAAAAGTTTAAGAACCATATTGAAAGTACACTTAATTTTTAGTGCTTGGTTTGCAGACAATTTTCATTTTGATAATTTTTCAAATTCATGACTCTCAAAGTCAAATGGGTTCTTAAGAGTTCAGTAACATGCCCAAATTTAGTCTTTCACATTTGTATAGAATATTCACGTAGGTTTTCCAGAGATGTACTATATTCCAAAACAACTATACAAACGCTCATTGCTGTCTCCACAGTCATTCTTGTACCACACCAGTGTTTTTCAACTTTTTTTCATTATTCTCCCCATCCCAGATTTAGACGTAAAACAAAAACAAAAACAAAAACAAAACGGATAAAACTCTTCCATATCCCTCTCACCTAAATTTTATACCACAGATATATTGTATATCTATTTATGTACTGTATTCCTTTGGAGGGCCAGAAACCATTGTAATAGCTACTATTTTTCACTCCCCCTACCCCAAGAACCAACCTTTGTACCCTTGTAGGTGCCCTTGCTAAAATGCATTTATCACACTAACCTTAAAGGCTCTTGGGGTGACGTAGCTAAACTTTCCAGACCACATTTGCTTGATCAGTTCGGCATAAGATTTAGCTATTTCACCTCTCATTCCTAAGGGATTGTCAAAATTCAGTTCTTCTTGATACTTATCATTGAGGAAATACTCAGTAAGTGGAGGTGTGTTGCTCAAACACTGCAAAAAATAAAACATATTTTCAAGTAAAAGTAACCATACTTCATTTTTCTTAAAACACATTAAAATGAAGAGAGAAACAAATTGATTTGCTATAATACATAGAGAACATTTAAATGATGGTTCCTTGCACTAATAACTGGTCAAATAAACACTCAAATGATGTACTCAACTATTCATTTCCCAAATTTCAAAATAATTACTTATAATAAATAAAAATGCTAGTATCTGCTGCTGTAAAGTCTGCATTAATTTTAACCACAGCAAACTACCTGGTAACTGGGAGAGAAGCTCAGTTTTCTTTCCTTCTTTTACTTGATTGGTAGAAATTATGGATTGTCTACTCATCCCAGGCACCTGCAAATTAGCCTGAGTAGGTAAAAACTGAGATAGAGTGCAAGCAAGAAATTAACTTAATAGAGGTATTTACTGCTTCCATTGTCAATTATTTCTCATGAAAGAGCAGCCTTTAAACCTTCCTTTTGGTCAACCATTTTTAGAAGAGACAGTACAGATTACTTGAGCCTGAGAAAATAAACTTCAGTATGTGAACTCTGGTAAGTGTGTTCTCACTTCCAGCTCTTCTTTAATGTCATAAACAATGCAATTTTCCTTTATGGCAAAATAAAAACTATAAACAAGTTAATTGTCTCTTTCCAATTCTGAATTAAATAATTTCATATTTAATATAAAACAGATGGCAGAAGTACAATTTTTCCACATTTTATCTCAAGTTGGAATAATTTTAAGGTGACGATCCATATGATTTGACCTCAATACAAACCCAGTATTATCAACTAGATGTCTACAATATGCAATGACTAACACAGACACATGGTCACATAAGTAAATTTTTTTTTGCTGTAGGAAGATATTTGTGTTGGAATTAAGTGGCAAGGTGCTGCAAGGAAGCTAGCTGCTTGCATGGAAAATAGTAGAAACTCACTTTTATGAGAGCCTGGGTTCACATTAATGGAAATCGAAGTTTTTTGAAGCTTGCTTATAGTCATCTGTATTAAGTTAGATAGGTTTGGTAGGTATGAAAAGTTCAGTCTGTTGAATTCATACAGATAACTTATATGCCATAAACTACGACTATATACTATGCATTGTTTAGCTAAAATTTCAAAATATGCAGTCAATGTTTACTTAGTTTTTAAAAATAATTATGGTACTCAATTTTGTGGTTTCAATTATAAATCAACATGTTTACTGAAGTAGCCAATAATATCTATTTAGAAACTTTCTATATAATAAAAATAATAATGTTTATTATAAATTGCTAGCCTGGCCCCTACCTCAAGGCAAAAGGGAGAACTGGTTATATCATGGAATTTATGATTATATTATTCTTAGGCAATTAAAATAATAAAAACAGCTAAAACGTTTGGAGTGAGCTATATAGGCCTTTAGAGTCATATACATATTTTCAGCAGTAGAACTTTTTACTATATGTGAGCAAGAGAAACAGAGGTATGCTACAGAGTAGGAGGCAATTAAGAGAAAGGATGCTTCCCTAACTTTCTACCTCTTAGATCTCAACCTATCTCATAATCTTATACTCCTTTTGAGTTTCAGTTTCTTTTCTTCTTTTGTAGTATATGTCCTTTTAATTATAAACCCAGCACTAGAGGGAGGTCCAGGCAATTTAGAATGGTAAATGCCATCACTTAGTATCATCTGATTTAGTACAAAATATGATCAACATTAAATAGTCAGACAAAAGAGAGGTCAGACAGGAATTTCCAACAATTATCAATAGTTTTCCACTTCTTATATTTGATCAGCTCAGGGTTATGCTAAGAATATAACATTCCATTATTGTCTGTTAATGCAATTATATAAAGAACCTAATTTACAAATATCTCAAAAGAACCAAGTTGCGCAAACCTGAGTAATTCTTAAACTTTGTTATTACTGAATTATTCACACATACTCTTATCCTGGAAAGAGCTTACAAGTATAACTGAATATTTTTTAGCTTTCCAATAGTATCCAGAGTGATCTCCCTAAAATGTACATATCATCATGTTGCTTCCTTCCTGTAAATCCTTTTATGGCTCTCCCTGCTTACAGACTGGAAGCCCAGATTCTTAGAAGGGTCTGTCTTTTGCTCATCTATGTGGCCTCATCCTTTGTCAATACCCTTTTCTTTTCAACTCTGCCAGCTTTATTTAATTAGTCATTCCTCCACATGTTCTCTCACTCTGAAAGTTTGCAACATTACTCCATCTACTTGGAAATGTACTTTTTTTTTGGCCTTACTAACTTCTATAAATCCATCAAGATTCTAGTATCCTATCTGGGAAGCCTCCCTTAGATTTCCTTATAGTGTTTTCTCCTGTATGTTTCCTTAATGCTTACTACTTACTTTTATTATAGCACTTATCTGATAATATACTGTAACTTTAATTTTTAGTTTGTTTTGCCAAATGAACTGAGACCTCCATGAAAGGAGGTACCAGGGTATTCTTATTTATATTGCCAGCACTGAGCATTATGTCACCTGTCACTGAGCATGTTCACAATAAATGTATGCTTACTAAAAATATCTTTGCCTGTACTTACTAATGCATTTATCCTCTTGATTTTTACTCTTTTCCTTCAATGTTTGGCATAGAGAGGTCAATAAATTTTTGTTGAATGAAATACTATTAAATGGAGGAAAAATATATTTGTAAAGAATAATCTCAAATCGATATCTTCAAGCACTTCTACCTAAATGCTAAACCGTAAGAAGGGCAGTACCTATTACAAATCTTTCTGCCCCTTTGTCTGATTTTTCATTGAATCCACTATCTGCTTTGTAAATGATCCTCTGCTTTGGTTTTTAAAAACTCCTTGAAACAGAGACCAGCATTTATTTTCACAGTGATACATGCTGGTTTCAAACTGATTATAATTCAATGTTAACAAATAACAACAAAATACAAATCATTTTAATGATAATTTGCCTGTGTTATCTGTGAGGATATCATAACCAATATTTAAATGTAAGCTATTTAGTCCTAAATGGGCCCAAATAAACATTCTATTTGTTGAACACATATTCTAACAAGCGACACTTCCTAACAATTTGTATAAACACATACAAATACATAAATTCAATAGTCAATATAACTGTTCTACTAATACCCAAATCATATTAGTTTAAAAACTAAGATGATGTCTGATGTTTCTCCCTCATAAAAATACCATCCTTTTCACCCTCATCTTGAAAATATCATTAGGAATCAATAGGTTCACTTTATTTTTTGTTTTGAGACGGAGTCTCACTCTGTCACTCAGGCTGGAGTGTAGTGTCACAGTCTTGGCTCACTGTAACCTCCACCTCCCGAGCTCAAGCAATTCTCCAGCCTGAGCCTCCCCAGTAGCTGGGATTATAGGCGCCCACAACCGCACCTGGCTAATTTTTGTATTTTTTGTAGAGACGGGGTTTCGCCATGTTGGCCACTCCTGACAAAAGGTGATCTGCCCGTCTTGGCTTCCCAAAGTTCTGGGATTACAGTTGTGAGCCACTGCACCAGACCATGAGTCAATATGTTCTTAAAATAGTATACAGACCAGTTAAAATATTAAAAGTTCTCATAATTTTTGGTAAATTTCAAGGCATAAATGGAAAAAAAAAATCAAACAATTAAAAATATTGCCATGTCCCATGTGATGTTGTATCAGTATTCAATGTCATCATTCTCGTAGAAAAAAGAAGCAGTTTCTTTTTTTTTTTTTTTGAGATGAAGTCTCACTCTGTTGTCCAGGCTAGAGTGCAGAGTGCAATGGCGTGATCTCAGCTCACTGCAACCTCCCAGGTTCAAGCAATTCTCCTGCCTCAGCCTCCCAAGTAGCTGGGATTACAGGCTTGTGCCACCATGCCTGGCTAATTTTTGTATTTTTAGTGGAGATGGGGTTTCACCATGTTGGCCAGGCTGGTCTTGAACTCCTGACCTCAAGTGATCCACCCACCTTGGCCTCTCAAAGTGCTGAGATTACAGGTGTGAGCCATCGCACCTGGCTGAAGCCAGTTTCTTAATGTTGGTCATAATGTAGTTTGATTAGTAATTACTTTATGCAATTCATTATTTAACATTTTCACATGAGGTTATCTTAGAACACGAACATTTTGGACAATTACAAGAACACTAGTTACTTGGACTGTCTGCAATTAAATACTATGTTTTAATGAACAGAGATAATTTTCAGTCAACAATAATTTATTGTACATTTAAAAATAACTAAAAGAGCATAATTGGATTGTTTGAAACATGAAGGAAGGATAAATGCTTGAGGTGATGGATACCTCATTTACCCTGATGTAATTATTATACACTGAATTCCTGTATCAAAATATCTCATGTACCCTCTAAATGTATGCAGCTACTATGTACCCATACAAATTTTTAAAAAATACATAAAATTAAAAATATATAATTTTATTAGGTCAGTAATGAAAATAATCAGTTCTGAAGTATCTATCGCGAAGATTCTTCTACTATAAAAAAACCATTTTCCTATCAGATGAGACTATCCCAAAACAATTCTTTTCTTAAAGATACATATGTTTTAAAAGTCTTCCATATGTAGGTAGCAAGAAAACTTCCCTTTTATCCTGTAAGACACTTTACTGAGTGATATATTATAATATGGACTAAAAATCAGATATGTGTTGTGCCTATGTGAATATCTCTACTCTCAATGCTTCCTGGACTATTAAACAGGACAAAACTTCCTGCAACAGCCATGGTTGTTCTTAATAAAAACTGAGAATATATATGAATGTATTATGAAACACAAAAGAGATTATATAAACAGTATTAGTTAGTATGTTATTTTTGTGGCTACTTGTAAGTTTTATGACATGTCTACCAGTTTCATGCCATTTGGAGCTATGCCCCTGTTAATTTATTGGAGTTCAATTGCCTGACGTTGACAAATGCCAAAACTTCGGTGTTTCAGGAGAACTAGATCTCAAAATGTGTCACTAATATAATAAGGTCCAAATA